AGACCGTCGATCGGATTAAGCTGAGATTTTGCTATATCGAAGCTCACTCCATGAGCTTTAAAATAAGCCAAATTGCCTCGCGGAAAGTTCTGCCATTACGAAGTTATGGCTCAGACAGCGTTTGCGTAGCATTGGAGTGCTAGCATAGTAGCGTTGACTCGGGCAGCATTCCGCCGTCCAAGGAAGGAATTTGCTTGAATCAAATCGACTATATCCAGGTACAAACAGAGAAGGAATAAATAGTTCTAGCTAGCAAGGACCTTAGGAATCAACCTGGGAACAACCAAGGATGATCCCAAATATTTCCAAGCAACAGAACCAACCTGGCTGGACAAAACAGAAGGTGGTAGGTTGGTAAACAACCTCTAGTTCTGTTTTTCCAACCTGGGAAAACAACAACCAGGTTCAGGTCCTAAACACAGAACCTGTTTGGTTCCGCTGGTTTCCCCTGGCCATGTAGCATGCAGATACAGACAAACAACATCCAACCTTCACCTAAATTGTACCCCTATAGTGCCTGCCCTGCTACACTATAGTCAACCAAACAAAACAGTACAATTTCGAGTTGGATAGAATTGAATCTGCGCAATCAAGTAAGCCGAACCGCAAAGCTTCCATCTTGGGTGCCTTTGCGAGCTCTTCCTTTCTGCTTGTACTGTTCATAGCGTATACAATGTTGTGCCGAAGCGCACATTGCGCGAGTACCTGCAAATGCTTCAAGCAAAAATTGCGAAAGCAAACAGACACACGAACATTCCATTCATATGCAAATGCATTCGCAAACGCATACTCGTACAAACAGACGGCAGGATGTCGTGCAATGTGACTTTGCACCCAACACACTCCCCCTCACCCTGCCGGCTGCATCCCCATCATTCCATGCTAGTTCATGCTCATTCCACTCATGCGCACACAACGGCAATGAGGCTCATCCGCAAGCCTCTTGGTGAGGAAGTCTGCTGGCTGCTGGTGAGTCTTGATGTAGATCGGATTCACCGTCCCCCTCTTCACCTCCTTACGCAGCCAGTGCCACTTGATACGCATGTGCTTGTTCAGCCCATGAAGCACAGCGTTCCTGGCCATCCCAAGAGCCCTCTTGCTATCACAAAACAGCGGCGTAGCAATCTTCTGCTCCTGGCCAATCTCCTCTAACAACCTCCTCAGCCAAATCACCTCCTTTACCCTGTGAAACATTGCCATGGACTCTGACTCCACGGAAGAGAGTGCCGTCTCCGTCTGCTTCTTTGAACTCCAACTAACTTGTCCTCCCCCAACTACGCAGATGTATCCTCCCACAGATGAGAAATCCTCGTTCTCAGAGGCCCACGTAGCATCGGTAAAGCAAGTGAGAAAGAGCTTGCCTTCTCCAAGCCTCTCCCCCTTGTCTTTCAGCACCTCAACCCCTTTCTGCTTAACCTGTGCAGATGCGGAGTATTGAACTCCAATGCTTGGGTGAGAGTTCAGGTACTTCACCACACGCTCAGCTGCATCCACCTGCTCCTCTGATGGATTTTGCACCACCCTAGCCAGCTGCCCAACCGAGAAAGAGATGTCGGGCCTCGTGTGAACCGCTGCATATATGAGGCTGCCCACCAAGGACTGAAATTGCTGATGCTCCTCGGCTTCAACCCCTTCATCCTCTGCAGCCTTCACAAGCTTGAATTCTGCTGGCAGGGGAGTTGCAACCTTGCGCTCATTCTCAATCCCATATTTCTCCTCCCCCAGCTCCTTGATGAACTTCTCCTGGTGCAGCTTTAACCACCTGTGATCTGGATCCCTCTCCACGTGCATCCCGAGGTAATACTTTACCTCCCCAAGGTTCTTGCACTTGAAGTTCTCCATCAGCTGCTGCTGCACATTCTGGATCTCCTTCATGCTGCTGCTAAAGAGAAGAATGTCGTCCACGTAGACCCGAAACAGCACCAGCTTTTCCCCCTCCCCCTTGAGAAAGAGGCTCTCATCACAAGTGCTGGTCTTGAATCCCATCTCCTCTAAAACAGCTGCCAACTTCTGGTACCAGCAGCGTGGTGCCTGCTTCAAGCCGTAGATGGACTTTTTCAGCTTGCACACCCTGCCCGTACCATCCTCGTACCCATGCTCCTCTAAAATCCCATTGAGAAATGCCGTTGATATATCCATCTGAATGATGAATTTCCCACTAACAGCTACATCTGCCAACAAGACACGGAGGGTAGGGGGTTTGGCAGTAGGAGCAAAGATCTCATTGAAGTCCTGCTTCTCTTTCTGCATAAACCTCTTAGCCACCAGCCTACTCTTGTAGATGGTGACCTGTCCCTTGTCATCGGTCTTGATCCTTAGCACCCACTTGTACTGTACGGCCTTCTTCCCCTCAGGCAGCACCACCAGATCCCATGTCCCATTCTCTAGTAGGCTCTGGTACTCAGCATCCCTAGAAACCAGCCACTTCTCCCTATCTGGTCCAGCTAATTCCTCCTCCATGCTAGCTGGTTCCTCTGGTGCAGGGGCAAGAAAACAGTAGGCAGGTTCATTCACCCCATCCGGGTCATAGCCATGCGGTAGAATCAGCAATGCCTCCTCATTCCCAAGCTGCTGCTCCGCTACACCTGATCCTTCAGTCAGCTTCTTAGTAGCCATACGGGTACGTCCTGGCCTGGAGACGGGTGTCTCCCATCCCTTCATAACGACACCCTTCGGCTTCTTAGTTTTCCCCTGCTGCTGCGCTCATCCCTCGGATCCAGCAGCTCCACTTGTGCTACCGCCAGTCTCCACACCATTTTCTCCACCAGCAGGTGCCTCCTGCACCTTCTCTCCATCACCACCCTCTGCAGCTGCCTCCTCTCCCTCCTCCCACACACTAGGAGTCAGGTCCAGCTGCGTGGTGATCTGTTCCATCTGCTGGGACACCCTGGCCTCCAGCTGTTTCTCCCAGCTCCCATACATCATGCCCTCAACAAACTTCACATGCCTGCTGTCAAACAACACACCGTTGGATGGTTCCCACAGCAGCCATCCATTGATCTCAGCAGCCAGCCCAAAATGCACACACCAGATCGCACTCGCCCCCAACTTACTTTGATACTTCTTGGGGACGTGGGCGACTGCCATGCAACCGAACACCCTCAGCATGTCTACCGGCGGCTTCCTCCCAAGCCACCTCTCCAACGGCACCCACGAGTCCCGACATCACCAACCTTAGTGAGCACTCTGTTCCTAGCCACGGTAGCATGCCAGACAGCATGGGGCCACATCAAGTTGCCCAGCCCAGATTCTATGAGCAGCGCCCTAGCTGTCTCCAGAATTGTCCGGTTCGCACGTTCTGCTACACCGTTAGACTGTGGGGTTTAAGCCGTGGTTAGCTCCTCTGGATGCCCTGCTTCTTGAGCCAGGCCGTCATCTCAGCTCCAAGGAACTCACCACCCCGATCTGTCCTAATCCGCTTCACCACACACTCCGCTTGCTTCTCCACGAATGGCAGCCAATCTTCCCGTATCGTAGAGGCGGCGTGGTCCTTCTGCTTCAGCGGATATGCTCATATAAGCCTGCTCCAATCATCCACTATGGTCATAAAGTACCGCTCCCCCTTGTGCCCTTGCACCGGCAGCGGCCCCACCAAGTCCATGTGGACCAGCTCCAAAGGTTCCGTGCTCCTGCCAGCCACACAATGGAAGGGAAAACGAGTAAACTTTGAGAGCAAACAGATTTCACAGTTATGATCGGGTGGCTGTCCGTTCAGCTTCAGACCCTTCACAGTGTTGGTGTAAGGGCCTAATCAACTCAATCTATTAAGACTTTATCAAACTTAAAACCTCTCCTCGGGGTCACCTCCAAGGGTCCTTGGGTGCCTGGTACAAGACCAGCCCCTATCCTCCGGTCCGAGTTTGTAGAGAGAGGGATCAAGAGGGACTTAGTCAAAACAGCAAGAGTACCTTGAACGTCGCGCAGCGTATCGTGCAAACCGTCGATCGGATTAAGTTGAGAATTTCCTATATCGAAGCTCGCTCCAAGAGCTTTAAAATGAACCAAGTTGCCACGCGAAAAGTTCTGCCATTACGAAGTTATGGCTCAGACAGCGTTTGCCTAGTGTTGGAGTGCTAGCGTACTAGCGTTGACTCGGGTAGCATTCCGCCGTCGTACCGCGTAGAAACGAAATTCCAGGAAGGAAGGAATTCGCTTGAATCAAATTGACTATATCCAGGTACAAACAGAGAAGGAATAAATAGTTCTAGCTAGCAAGGTTCTTGGGAATAAACCTGGGAACAACCAAGGATGATCCCAAATAATTCCAAGCAACAGAACCAACCTGGCTGGACAAAACAGCAGGTGGTAGGTTGGTAAACAACCTCTGGTTCTGTTTTTCCAACCTGGGAAAACAACAACCAGGTTCAGGTCCTAAAAAACAGAACCTGTTTTGTCTTTGCCCAAGCCAAATGCTGGTTCCTCTGGTTTCCCCTGGCCCTGTAGCATGCAGATACAGACAAACAACATCCAACCTTCACCTAAATTGTACCTCTATAGTGCCTGCCCTGCTACACTATAGTCAACCAAACAAAACAGTACAATTTCGAGTTGGATAGAACTGAATCTGCGCAATCAAGTAAGTTGAACCGCAAAGCTTCCATCTTGGGTTCCTTTGCGAGCTCGTCCTTTCTGCTTGTACTGTTCATAGTGCGTACAATGTTGTGCCGAAGCGCACATTGCGCGAGTACCTGCAAATGGATCAAGCGAAAATTGCGAAAGCAAACAAACACACGAACATTCCATTCATACGCAAATGCATTCGCACACCCATACTCGTACAAATAGACGGCAGGATGACGTGCAATGTGAATTTGCACCCAACAAACAGCTCCATCTTTCTCCAACTGCTTCAACAAGGGCATTGCCACATGTCCCAAGCGTCGGTGTGCCGTTGCCCAATCCGTCTCCCCAGATCTGGCCGATACTTGCACACCAACCCCTCCAACGGCGTTGCACTCCCCCTGGGATGCAGACCCCTCTCCAGCCTGCCCCCCACCGTGCTACGCCAACGCCGGCAGCTGCCACATGGATCTGTACACGTTCTTGCTCTCGTGCAGATCCCAAAGCACCCGATTGCCCAGCTGCCCCTTGTAAGTGCGTGCCCTATCCGTGCTAGTGCTCACCCCAGCCTTGCCAAACTTACGGAGGGAGATGGGGTTGGCCTTGAGTTCAGGAACGAGGAGAACGTCGTGAAGCACCACGGGCTTGCCATCCACTCCCTTAAACGCAGCTCGTCCCGCACCAGCCACCTTCAGCGCGTGTCCAGAGGCAGAGCACACCTCGTTGATCGGTGCAGCGCGTACGTCGTCCAGCAGGTCCTTGCACGGCGTCATCGTCCAAGCAGCGCCTGTGTCCAACACCCAATAGTCCAGGGCGTGCAGCTCTGCTCCAACCTTGGCAGAGGCGTCTCCTTGCTCCCCCTGATCTCTAATATGGAAGAACTGGCCCGCGGTGCGCTCCTTCTTCTTTTCCGCGCCGCCGTTGCTCTTCAGGTTGTTGTCGGACGAATCGGCGACCATCTTCGCGCCGTTTTTCTAGTTACTCCACGCGCCGCCATCCTGGTGACGATTCTGGGGGGTCCATCCATCGGGTATCTTATAATACAAAAACCAGGGGTGCCCCTCCTTCTCACAATACCAGCAACTCCCTTTCATTTTGCCACCAACACCCGACTTGCCCCCACATCCAGATTTCGCACCGCGACCCCAACCGGTACCTCCTTGTTGGTCATTGGAGTCGTTGTTCTTCTTTGCACCGCGTCCAGCACCACCGAAGCCACGTCCTCTGCCACGTCGGCTCCCTTGCATTCCATAGCCGCTGCTGCCGTCGTCTCCACCCCTCAGTTGGCGGCGACAGAAGTCCTCCTCCAGAATCTTTGTCCGCACCCACTCGAGTGTCCACGAGATCTGGTTCTGCAGCAGGCTTAATCCGCTCGTGAATTGAAGCCACGATCCAGGCAGCAGCGAGAGAATCTTCAAGCACTTCGGGTAGGTGATTTCCGCGGTCGCCAACTTCGCGTAGAGATCGCGCATCTTGTCCACGACAGGTTGCACCGGCTCTCCCCCGCTCAGGCGCAACGCGAACAGCTCCCTTTCCAGCATCAACGTTGCAACAACGGAGCTCGGGGCGTGCAGCTCCTTCAACACGGTCCACGCCATCGGACCGCACTAAATGTCCGGCAGCAGGTGCATAACGTGGTGACGCTGGTTCAGCTCCAAACTCTGCGACATCAAATAGTAGCCAGCCGAGGAGCGCTCGTCCCAACCTTCCTGCAGCGTGGGGTCACTCGGTCTAGGCTCCTCCCCAATCATTAGTTTCAGCAATCCAATCTGACGGAAATAGAGTTGCATTTTCCAGGCCCAATCATCATAGCCCTCACAATTGAACTTCTCGACGGTGAAGTTCTTCAGCACCTCCTTGACCAGCGAGCCCTGGTATGTTCGCGCTCCCCTTGGCGTTGAAACACCAGAATCTTGGCTGCCGCTACGATCTTGGGCTGAAGATTCACCAGCTTGCGTCGAGGTGTTGCCCGCCATAGCTACCTATAACGAGGATCATTATAACGCAGCTCTGATACCAGCTTGTTGGTGTAAGGGCCTATTAAACTCAAGCTATAAAGACCTAATCAAACTTAATACCTCTACTCGGGGTCACCTCCAAGGGTCCTTGGGTGCCTGGTACAAGACCAGCCCCTATCCTCGGGTCCGAAGGACCAAGAATGACTTAGCCAAAATAACGAGAGTACCTTGTACGTCGCGCAGCGTATCGTGCAGACCGTCGATTGGATTAAGCTGAGTTTTTGCTATATCGAAGCTCACTCCAAGAGCTTAAAAATAAGCCAAGTTGCCTCGCGAAAATTTCTGCCATTGCGAAGTTATGGCTCGGACAGTGTTTGCCTAGCATTGGAGTGCTAGCATACTAGCGTTGACTCGGGTAGCATTCTGTCGTCGAACCGCGTAGAAACGAAATTCCAGCAAGGAAGGAATTCACTTGAACGAAATTCCAACCTGGGAAAACAACAACCAGGTTCAGGTCCTAAAAACAGAACCTGATTTGTCTTTTCCCACCCAGCCAAATGCTGGTTCCGCAGGTTTCCCATGGCCCTGTAGCATGCAGATACACACAAACAACATCCAACCTTCGCCTAAATTGTACCCGTATAGTGCCTGCCCTGCTACACTATAGTCAACCAAACAAAACAGTACAATTTCGAGTTGGATAGAACTGAATCTGCGCAATCAAGTAAGCCGAACCGCAAAGCTTCCATCTTGGGTTCCTTTGCGAGCTCGTCATTTCTGCTTGTACTATTCATAGCGCGTACAATGTTGTGCCGAAGCGCACAATTCGCGAGTACCTGCAAATGCTTCAAGCGAAAATTGCGAAAGCAAACAAACACACGAACACACCATTCACACGCAAATGCATTCGCACACGCATACTCGTACAAACAGACGGCAGGATCTCGTGCATTGTGAATTTGCACCCAACAACTTACTCATACGAATGGTGCAAAAAGTTAGTGCTTTACATATCCGAGTGGATGGTACTAAGAGTAAGTTTGTTTCTTACCCATATAGATGGTACCAAAAGTAAGTGCATTACTTACCAATCTGTATGGCCATAAAGGCAAGTTCCTTGCTTACCCATATGGATGTTATTAAAGTAAATGCATTATTTAGCCCTATGGATGCTATTAAGAGTAAGTGTGTTACTTATCCGTATGGATGGTACCAAGAGTGTTCGTCATTTACCCATATGGATGGTACTAAAAGTAAGTGCGTTACTTACCCATCTAGATGGCACAAAAAATAAGTTCGTTGTCTATCCATATGGATGTTACCAAGAGTAAGTGCGTTACCTACTTATGTGGATGTTACTAAAAGAAAGTGTGTTAATTACCCATACGGATGGTACTAAGAAAAAGTGCCTTACTCACGCGAATTGGTGGTACCAAAAGTAAGTGCGTTTCATACTCATATGAATCGTACTAGGAGTAAGCGCGTTACTTACCTATCTAGATGGCATTAAAAGCAAATTTGTTGCCTGCCCATATGGATGGTACCAAGCAAAAGTGCGTTATTCATCCAATGGATGGTACCAGAAGAAAGTGCGTTACTTACCTATATGGATGGTACCAAGAGTACATGCATTAATTACTCATATGGATGCTATCAAAAATATGTGTGTTACTTAACCGTGTTGATGGCACTATAACTATGTGCTTACCCATATTGATGGCACCAAGAGTAACTGCGTTAATTACCCACATGGATGTAGAGAGCAACTCTACACCGGGAGCTAGACTACAGGGGAAGGCACGGTTGTGTGAGTGATCGCAGCGTTCCTTGTATGTTTGTTCATGTTCTCTCTACGCGCAGATTTACAAGGAGAATCGGCAAAAGTTCCACTAGCAAATGTTCAAAACAATGGTACCAACAACATTGGCAAAGCTGACTACAACATAAGCAAGTCTGCCTAGCATGCAAGCAGGTCAAATTCCAGCGCAGCAAGGTCGACCACGTTCCAGCACTGCAAAGTTCGCACCACTTTAGCGCAGCAGAAAGACGGCTTGGCAACGTAGCAAGTCTACGGCGTGCCAACGCTGTAGCAAGGCGGCTGTCCAACGTTGCAAACGCATCACAATAGCGTACCCACTTCGCAGATGCTCGTAGTCGGTTGGTACAACGTGCACCGTCACGTGCACAGCGCATGTGCCAGGTCGACCACGTGCCGATGGCGGCATCTGATGAGCCACATCGACCTCGTGATACCACTCCCAAGGTTGGCTTCGCCAGAACCTCCTGGGCGACTGTCGCGCATCCCGCAGAACCTCGTCGCCGTGATAACGGTCGACGGGGAAATCAGCAAGGCGGCGTCGACTTGCGCGGCAGTACCCCGTCAATAGCTGTACGTGCTCGTCAACCATCCAAGTCGTCGGCCCCAGCCGACTTCACCAAGTCGACAACTCAAGAGGTCGTCAAACTATATGTCGACTAGAACTGCTGTTCGCCGACTACACCAAGTCGGATTCCCCAGGTCGGCGCCCTCAGGTCGGCGCCCCTTCCAGGTCGACGATCCCCTCGTCGACCACGGTCAAAGTCGCCCCCGGCTTCCCGTCGTCGGCGGCTACGCAGTGGCCCCTTGTAACTCGACCACCTCCGTCGACCTGCTCGCCGAAGTCGGCGTCGCCCACTGCAGTCGGTCGGCTGCACTTCCCGCTCACCCGACTATGAATTCGGCTCCGCCCAAGCGAAGACGGGGCCAAATCCCAACTTCTGTTGACAATGGATGGTATACGAATAAGTATATTGCTTACCCAGATGGATGGTACCAAGAGTATGTGTTACTTACCTCCTTAGAAGGTACCAAAAGAAAGTGAGTTACTTATCCATGTGGATGGTACCAGTACGTTACTTATCCATGTGGATGGTACCAAGAGTAAGTGCATTACTTAACCATATGGATGGTACCAAGAGTAAGTGCGTTACTTACCCATGTGGATGGTACCAAGACTAAGTGCGTTACTTACTCACACGGATGGTACCAAGACTAAGTGCGTTACTTACCCATATGGATGGTACCAAGAGTATGTGCGTTATTTATCCATATCAATTATACCAAGAGTATGTGCATTACGTACCTATATGGATGGTTCTAAGAGTAAGTACAATACTTACCCATATGGATGGTACCAAGACAAAGTGTGTTACTTATCCATATGAATAGTACCAAGAGTAAGTGCGTTTCTTAACGATACGGATGGTACTAAAAATAAGTGCGTTTCTTACCCATGTGGATGGTACCAAGAGTATGTGCGTTACGTACTCATATGGATGGTACTAAAAGTAAGTGCGTTACTATGATGAGTAGGTGCGTTACTTATCCATATGGATGGTGGCAAGAGTAAGTGCGTTATTTACCCATGTGAATGGACCAAGATTACGTGCGTATTTACCCATATCGATGGTACCAAGAATAAGTGCGTTACTTTTCCATATGGATGGCACCAAGAATAAGTGCGTTAGTTACCCATTCGGATGGTACCATGAGTAAGTGTGTTACTTATCCATGTGGATGGAACCAAGAGTATGTGCGTTACTTACCCACATGGATGGTACCAAGACAAGGTGCCTTACTTACCTATATGGATGGTACCAAGAGTAAGTGCGTTACTTATCCATATGGATAGTACCAAGTGTAAGTGCGTTGCTTACCCATACGGATGGTACTAAGAATATGTGCGTTACTTACCCATGTGGATGGTACCAAGAGTATATGCATTACTTACCCATATGAATGGTACCAGGAGTAAATGCATTACGTACCCATATGGATAGTACCAAGAGTATATATGAATGGTACCAAGAGTTAGTGTGTTTTTTAACGATACGGTCGGTACTAGAAGTAAGTGCAATTCTTACCCATGTGGATGGTACCAAGAGTAAGTGCGTTACGTACCCACATGGATGGTTCTAAGAGTAAGTGCGTTATAAACCCATATGGATGGTACCGAGAGTACGTGCGTTACTTAACCATCTGGATGGTACCAAGAGTAAGTGCGATACTTACCTATGTGGATGGTACCAAAACTAAGTGCGTTACTTACTTACATGGATGGTACCAAGATTGTGCGTTACTTACCCATATGGTTGGTACCAAGAGTACGCGTGTTACTTACCCATATGGATGGTACTAAGAGTATGTGTGTTACTTACCCATGTGGATGGTACCAAGAGTATGTGCGTTGTTTACCTTGGCGTCGAAACACCAGAATCGTGGTTGCCGCTATGATCTTGGGCTGAAGATTCACCAGCTCCTGCCGAGGTATTTCCCGCCATAGCTACCTATAACGAGGATCGCTATAAAGCAGCTCCGATACCAGCTTGTTGGTATAAGGGCCTAATTAACTCAAGCTACTAAGACTTAATCAAACCAAAAACCTCTCCTCGGGGTCACCTCCAAGGGTCCTTGGGTGCCTGGTACAAGACCAGCCCCTATCCTCGGGTCCGAGTTGGTAGAGAGAGAAGTCAAGAATGACCAACATAACGAGAGTACCTTGTACGTCGTGCAGCGTACCGTGCAGCGTACCATACCGTCGATCGGATTAAGCTGAGATTTTGCTATATCGAAGCAAGTTCCAATAGCTTTAAAATAAGCC